ACTCTGTATAAAGAGCTCCACCCAGGGCTCTGGGCACAATATGTTGGCAGAGCTGCAAGGCTGCAGGAGAGCAGAGCAGATGCTGGAGGAGTGGCAGCACTGAGGACAGAGGCCCAGAGGACAGTTGTGTGGGATGACTGTGCAGAGAGGCCCAGAGGACGGCTGTGCAAACAGAGGGGCCCAGAGGCAGAGACCGGCTTGCTGCCTGCAGAATCGCTCTGAGTGAACGGGATTCTAGTGACTGACCTGCCACCTGGAAATAAAGTTGGGTATAACCCTTTCACCCTAAGAACATTTTGCTGTCAATTTCTTTGGTCACACTGAATTCATAGCGAACTTGCCCGGGGCTGAAACCCATTGGCAAGACACTGGCCCTTCACAGAAAGTCTTCCAACCCTTGACTTAAAGGCTGGGCCAGGCCAAGGTCATTCATAATAGTATTCCACAGCAGCTTGGGTCCCAAGGTATTTAAAAATTATTTCACCGACAGGTTTATCTTTATAATCAAGTCCACTCAAAGGAACTGCCTGAACTTTCAAAACTGTGCCAGTTGGGATTCATATAAGAGGCAGCTGAGAATTTAGTAAAGGCTCCTTTAGTTTGGAGGAATTTGCCTAAGAAGATGGAAATATCAAAATTTCTTCACTACAATTTTCTCTAAACTCAGAAAGTCAACGGTTCAGTTGCCTTTCACATCCCCTGACCACCTGCTGGGGGACCCAAAAAGGGGTGGCTTCCTGCAGGCCAGCATGCTTTTCCTTAGAGAGAGGGTGGCCTCTCTCTAAGTGCTACCACCTGGCTGAGGAATGTTGGGCTGGAGAGAAAGCCCCAGAAAGCTATAGGTGTAGTTTCCTGAATACAATCAGTATTCCCTAAGATGTTTTTGTTTTGGGGTTCTATTTAGCACCCTGCCACCCTCCCTTCCGGTCCTTTTGGAAGGCAGTGGCTAAGACACAGAGCTCCCACAGGCCCTATCAGATCACAGTCAGGCAGTGTCATCTTCCTCCACAGAGGGGAGGCTGCTTGGAAGCAGGCTTTCTGTCAGCGTGAACAGAAGTGCCAGGGAGCTGTGCACACTCCCAAGGCCTTTCAGGCAGGGCTAAGCCATGCGCAAGAACCAGAGGGAGGCGTGAGGGCTTCTCACAGTCCCTCTTTGCCAAAGACCGAGATTCACATATGCTTACAAACCATTATGATTACTTTACTACAGAAGCAAACAAGTCTGGGGACCCTTTATGCTTAAGAAACAGGAGTGGCATATGTTACAATAAAACAAGCATTTGTATTAAATTCTAGAATTAACATAGTAGCAGAAAGCATGAAGATGGGAAGAAACTCCTGGAAGGGATATTATTCAATTCACCCAACCAAAGAGCACAAAAAATGCTTTTGGCACCTGCACTCTCTGTTTCACTGAGCTAAACAGAATCTCTTCGAATTAGGTTTGAGCTTTAGGTAAAAGTGATATTTGGAGCAGGTAATCCAACCTCAACGGCAGTGCTTCCCAATTTGTTTCCCATCACAGTACCCAGAGAGCTTGCTATGGTCAGCACACTAGGGTAAGCAGACAGGACGGCTGGCAGGGGTCCGCCAGGGGGCTGGAGCCAGCCCAGGAGGTTGAGAGTGGAGGGCGCACCATCTCAGCTGCGGGTTCTGCTCTAAGCTGTTGACTGCCACCTCCCAATGGTCAAGCTGCTCTGTATTCCTATGGTTGCTATGACCTCTGAACCAGTCTGTCCTTGACAAGTAGGTATATACTAGTTAGTGCCCGCCACCTCACTCATTCTGAAGATCCTCATGGTAAACTGACTTTGTGGAAAGATGAAACTTCTAGTTTAGCAGATTTATTCTGCAATCAGGGGCATACTGTGTGACATGGACGGTGTCCCTTCACATAGAGGCCTCTCAGAGGGCCTCTTGTGTGAAAGGACATCTTTTTTTAGGACTGCCACCAAAATGTGGACATAGTGAACTGAGGCAAACAAAGCAGGAGAGAGCTACTCTAAAGAGCAGGCCGTGCCAAAAGCACCAAGGAAAAATGGATTTTTGTGGGGGCAAATGCAGGCAGGAGAGGATAGGAGAACAAATGCAGCGACTGCTGAATGGGGTCATTCAGCTGATTTATAAAGGCTCTCGCCAGCATCCCTTGCTGTGGGAGATTGATGTGCTCTTCCTTCCAAAGCTGGGGTCCACACACTTGTTTTCTGGGGAACCAAGGAATCAACTCCAAGGATGTATATCCATTGTTTTCAAACCTTAATTAACTGGAACCTAAATAGGGCTTTTGAGGACTTTTTTCCTCTCACTTTGAAGGAAACTTTTCTCTCTTAAGTCAGCATGATGTAAATGGAAGAAAAGTGAACAAAGAGTGAGCTATCTTGATTTCTTGCATTTAAGCAATTCATTTAATCTTTGGGGGCTTGAGCTTTCTAATTTACAAAGTGAGAGGGCCATTGAGGTGTAAATATCTAAGGTTATTTTCAGCAATAAAGTTCTGATTCTAATTTATGCCAGCAGATCAGTATCAATCAACAATTTGTGGTTTTTCTCCTACCATGACTACCATACCCCTCCTAACGTGAGTGGAAATCATCTAACAGTCTCCTATTGTTTCAGAGCATTTCACATATTTAATTCAATCAAACCTTATAACAAGCTGGTGGGGCACAGTTTTTCAAATATCGTAACAGAAACTCTCCCATTTGATGCACCTGAAGCTGTGGTTGGTTAGTTATTCTAGGAGGTGGCGTGGGGAAGAGATAAATATATAACCAAACATTTGTTTTAACTTAATTTATAAAAACGTACATTCATTCAATGGTTTTTTTAACATATAAAGCTTTTAAGAGTATGCTAATTGGATTTTTACATACTATTTTCTAAAAAGCTATACTCATAATTCATTGTTTATAATTTATGATTTTTGTTCCTATAAAAGAACTTAGATATTTTTAAAACTATCTGAGTACAGAATTCTTTCTGAATTTTATGATTGTCCCCCTACTCTTTTGTAGTTGTCATGCCCAAACAGCAGAATTTTTGAAATTCCATACTTACCAAGTTCTTCAAAACAATTTTGGTTTTCACAGAAATGACGGCTTTCTTTTTTATGCTCTTATTTGATCTAATATCCAGTTAAACTGCATAATTACAGCAACATGTATAACTGGCATAACCAGACTTGGGAATAAGTGGTAGGACTGACCCTTGATACACACAATTCCTCTGGTGGGATCCCGCCAAGGCAGAAGGGAGCATGAGCCTGTGTGTGTGGCATGTCATGGGCACTGACCACTGTGTCCTGGAAAATGGGTGATGGGCACTGTCTGAGATGACCATGGGCATCCAGGGGAAGAGCTCAAGAAGGTGCGGGGAGAGGCTTGTTTGGAGCCTGGGAAGGAGGGCAGGGCTGGAGGGAGAGATTTTGGCATCATCAGCATTTAGTTAGTAGTTAAAATCCTAAGAGCAGAATTCATTCAGGAAGGGAGTATGGATGGAGGAACAAAAAGAGGATGGGGCAGGCCTCGGGTGGTGCCAACCCTAAATGGGTGAGCAGAGGAAGAGGCTTCTGCAAAAGGACCAGCAGGGATATGTACAAAGATAAGCAGAGAACCAGAAGGTGACTTCAAAGGGACAACTACAGGACCAGAAGTCCGGGAAGCACGAACTGAGAAGCATCCTTGGATTTGACAACCAGGCAAACAGTGGTGAGTGAGAATTAGTGGGTCTGCACCCCTACAAGTGATTTCACTGAAGGAAGGAAAGGAGATGTTCCATTATCTCCCATGCCGCTGGCCGGTCCCTCTCCCACCAGCTTTGCTGTCTTCTTCAGCAGCCACTCCTGCCTAATGCCTGCCCATCAGCATGCAGGAGCAGCTGGTCTGCTCAGGTGGCCTGAGACCAGACAAGGGAAGGAGGGGCACGAGAGCTCCAGAAGATACCCTGATGCCCCAACACAAGTGGATCATGATCCATTTGTTCCAAGAGCTGCTAACTTATTGGTAGGCCCAGGGCAGAAGCTAGTTGCAATACCTGCTGAGAAGCATTAGAGAGGTTTATAACAAAAGGTGGGATGAAATAAAATCTTTTAATTAGAAAATTTAAAACAGTCTTTTGAGATTGCTCAAGCTGAAAGGCTCAGAGAAAGAAATCTCTGTGAGGCTGCACTCTGCCAATGGTCTGATGAACAGCTCCATCAGCCGGTCTTGCTGTCAACTCATTTTTCAAACACCTAGGGATTCCCCACAGCATCCAGCGACCAGGGAAAGACAGTTCTCTGGGGTTAGGTAGGGAACGTAAGTGAGAAGACGCAGAACACAGGCTCTGCTCTACAATGTACTGACAAGTCATGAGGAAAGAATTCCTGGATCTTAAGAGTTACCGACTGTCAGGGAAATTCGACCAGGTTTGAGTGACAGCTGCCTAAGTCCCAGAGGACCACTGGCGTAGATGTGACACTCAAGAGCCATCAATGCCATTATGGGCCATCATTTTCTTCAACAGCCAACATACTAGTCTCCTCAGTTCTCCGAGTCTTCTGATATTAATCTGGGATTTGTACACATATAACTTTCAGGAACACAAGGGATAAGAAGAAATACTTTTTTTGTAAGCCCTGCCATTAGATACTGGTCATCAGTCTTCTAAACTTCCATGTTTCCTGTTCCCAGTTCCATCAAGAGGGATTTGAGGTAGCAACTAAGGCGAGGGTCAAATACTGGCTACAGGCTTACCAGGGAAGACCAGCTGGCAGTTCTGGTCACAGAGCCACCCACACGACACCACCCTCTTGCTTTAGCTCATATCGCTGGGCCTCGTGCGTTGTGACCTTTGGAGGGTGGGCAGGAGTTGGTTCCTGATGGCTCAGAGAGCGCTGTGTCAGCGCGGGGACCCGGGAGAGGACGAGGGGCGTGCCCGACGCTGCCGCGCTGAACCTCATGTGCTTGGGTTCAGGCACAAGTCAGAGCTGTCGGCTGCGCCGAGAGGAAGAGGTGACTGACCTGATCCAAGCGCAGTGCGCCGTCCACAAAGCGCTGCCTGCGTAATGCCTGCGCGATTCCGTGGAGACTCAGGACAGCCTGCTGGATCTCCTCCCCGCTGTGCTCCGGGCAGATCGGCGGCAGCTCCTGCTCAGGGACTTTCTTGGCTGGGCTTTCGATCATGCTCTGTGCATGCTCATAGCTCAGTTTGGTGCAGGAGCGGATGACGGTCTGGCCAAACCATTCACTAAGGATCTGCAAAGGCAAATTGTGAGGAGAATTTTTTCCAGGCTTTTCTTTCATGCAACCATTCATCCATACACAATCTACAGAGATTTACTGAGCACTGACTTTGCTCCGAATGGTGCTGGGTTCCAGTGAGACAACAAGACCCATCAGCTATGGAAGCTGCTGCCCTCAGGAGGCAGGGCCTGAACAGGCAGTGGGGTGGATGCCAGGTCTCCGAGCACTCAGGCGACACAGGCGAGGCCAAGAGGAGACCTGAGGGGAAGGGCCTGTCGGAGGCCTTTTCATTACTTCGGGCTCTGAGTGGTTGTCAGCATAAACACTGAAGAGAAAAAAGGGATAGATGCCAAAGCTGTGACAGCTGGGGGATGTGCGGGCGTGGTGCCGGGTGAGATGTAGGGTGAGGAGAAAGGTGGGTCACTGGCAGAAGCGGAGAACACAGGTGGAGAAGCAGGAGGGAGGTAGAAAGAAAAGAGCGATTCCTTGTTCTCTTTGGGGCATTAATATGGAGACAAAGTGCCGAATGGCGTCTCTCAACCTCAGCACTACTGGACTGACGAATTCTTTGTTGTGGGGGCTGTCCTGTGCATTATAAAATGTCTAGTGATATCCTTGGACTCTACCTGAGAGGTGCCGTAGCACCCTGCTCCTAGCCCCCTGAGCTGACAACCCAAAATGTCTCTGGACATCGCCAAACCCCCCCCTGGAGAAACGGCCCAGGTCGAGACCTGCTGGGCTCAAAGCAGATGTATCCCCATTTCGTGGTGTTGCTTGCTGAGTGGCAGGATTATTGTAGATTTGTATTTTATCCTTTCAATTTGCCTGTATTTTCTATAATGAGACTTTACTACTTTTAAAACAAAAAGAACCCAACATTAACATATTTTTGGTACTCCTGAGTCTGAGGTGCAGGGAGCAGAAGCAGACGGAGACAGTGGCAGGAGTCGGGGGTGGCAGGGCCAGGGAGATGGCTGGTCCGGAGGCGGGGAGATGGCACTCACTGACTGGAGGGACCAAGACAGAAAGAAAGGCTAGGTGGGAGGGTGGACGCTGCATTCTCTACCGCCGGCAATTCAGGGAGCAAAGTGAAGCTGAAGAGCGAAACCGAATGAAACACGGGAGAGCTCAAAGAGACGGGGGGAACATGGGGAGCACCCTATGTTAGGCAAAACAGGAGGAAGGGGCTTTAAGAAAGGGGCCCTGCAAAGCAATGAGACGCTGGTGTAGCGCCTACGATGAGAGGCACTGTTTACACACTTTCCATAGAGCAGCCAGTGAATTCACATAGCGACCTTGTGGGTGGGTATCTTATCCCCAGTCTGTAAATGAGGAAACTAAGGCACCGGCATGTTAAGTAACCTGCCCAAGGTCATATGGCTGGAGACTGGCAAAGCCAGGAACAGAACACAGGCAGTCCTGCCAGCCCCAAAGCGGAGCTCTTAATCACTAGTGTACGTCAATGCCACTCGGACATCAAGAAGGATGAAAACAAGAAAAAGTCCTTGCATTTAGCATTTGCTTTCTGGTGGCCTTCAGGAAGGCTCTCTTAGCGGGGACAGTGTTGGGGGGGAGGGTGGCAGAGTCAAACTGTAAAGATTTCCAGCATGTGTGAATGGTTTACAGAGATGCTGCCATAGTGGTTCCTCTCGTCCTCGGGCAGCTGGACAGCTCTGCTTCCCTCAGCCCAGTGCACACCCCTGTGTGCCACCTGCACAGCAACATCTGTGTGCGTCACAATGGGAAAAGGTTTGGGAGGCTTTGGGTTAAGGATGTGTGGACGGCGGCAGTGGCGGCAAGGCAGTGGGCGTGGTGTGGGTGGCTGCTTCCCAGAAGGATGGCAGGACAGGGCTGCTGCTGCGTGCGCGGGACAGGGGAATGTGCTGAGTGCTGCACACAGGGGGAAGCCGGAACAGGAGGCAGGCTGAGGATGCAAGAGGATGGAGGGCCCCAGGCCAAGGGGAGGACCCAGCTGGGGGAAGGAAGAGTGGCAGGGAGAGGAGGCAGGAAAGAAGGGGAGAAGCGGGAAGCTGAGAGCACCCACATCAGATGGCCCCAACCATGGGGTCAGCTAGACAGCAAAGAATGAGGGACCGGGTGGGGCTCAAGGGCATGAAGAAAGTGGACAAGCTGAGATGAAGGCTGTGGGAGAATGTGATTCATGAGCACGGAAAAGCCAGATGTGCTGAGTGGCAGAGGAGGCTTGGGAGAAGGGAGGTGCTCCAGTCAGCAGCACAGCCTTCCAGCCCGGGCTTGCAGACATTCCCCCACTCCAACTCCCCTCCTCACCAGCCAAAGCATTCTATTCACAATGCTTCCCAAAAAAGGCCCTGTGAAGGATCCAGCTGGTCCCAGAGGGGAGAGGAGAGAGCCCAGCCCAGAGGGGGCCACGCCACATAGCCTCTGTGGAACACAGCTTCTGCCCCGAAAGGCCAGCAAGACCCCTCGGGTACCCTCACCTGCCTCTGAAGAAAGAATCAATATTCTTAGAGGGCAGCCATGGAGCACAGGAAGAAAATGGTAGGCACTATTCACACTTTTCTTTGATTCACTGCAAACAGTCTTATCATAAAGAGTCTTGGATCTGTAATATCAGACTTTTCTTTCACAAAAATTCTCAAACTATACTTTCCAGATTTTTCCAAGAACCACTTCTATCCAGAAATACAAGAGATTCAAATACTGTGCTCATTACTTTTCTGCTGCGGCCAGCAGGTCCTGAATTTGGCTGTCAGAAGTGTCTGTGTACACACTCAACACAAGAGAGACTGCAGAGCCAATTCAGTGTCACTGCATGCTCCCAGGGGGGAAGTAGTGCACGCAGGTCTCAAGAAGAGCCCCTTTCAAGGCCATCCCAAGCTTGTCCTTCTATCACGTCCACATTTCTTGCAAACTCCACACTAATGGAGTTGCTCCAACCTTCTCTAGAATGACAGGGCCATGACCTATTCGTTCTTGTGGTCACAAAGTTTTCCCCTGGAGAGTCAGCTTGTTTCCTTTCCTACATTTCATTCCAAACTCACTCAATCCTCCTTCTTCCGTGTCTACATTTGGTCTGACAGTCTGTCTTCAGTGTGCCAGAGGGCGGGGAATGTTCCTTCCACTCTACCCCACACTTCTCGTTTCACAGCCTCTACCATCAGTTTTGCCGATTCCCTCGGGCACCAGGTCAGAGGATATCCAGCCTCCTAGGGTCTGTTCTCGTTTCCTAGAGGCTGCAGGAAACTACTGCAAACTTACACGGGGTAGCCAGCACACACAGGTCAGGGAGACTCAAGCCACCCTGACTGGGCATCTATTTTCACGTAAACTGGTGGGTCAAGAACTGCTTTAAGAATCTAGTAAAGTACCAGGTCCTCTCCCCTGAAATATTCATGCACACAGTTTTGCATTGAGTTCCCTGAGATTCCTAGATACTTGCCACCCCAAGCTGGTTTATCTTGGGCACTGGTGCTCCCTCAGCTTGCTTCCTTGCCAGTCAGTGATGGATACCTACCCTGCTGCACACACGAACCCTACCAAATCTGAGACCACAGTGTTGAAGAGAAGCTTCCTACAGCTCTTTCATCTCCCCTTAACACCTGCATTCCAGAAAATGTGTGCCAGCCTTCCTTTTGAACATGCCAAGGGCTGAAGTGGAAGCTCTGAGTGGCCATCAGGAACATCCTGGCCCAGCAATGGTGGCCTCAGACAGCAGCGGAACCTACCCTGCTTTACCACAAGCCCGTGATTCTGGGAATCAATCATACCTGATACACAGAGAAACAAAATCCTGAGGCCAGGAAAACAGGCCTCTCAGCCTTACATGGAGAGAGGCAGCAGGAAAACAAACATCCAAGTGGGGGCAGAGGGGGTTCTGGGGCGGAATGCCTTACAGTACAGGAGGAAGGCCTCTCTGGATGCAACACCTCATTAATTTCCAATGTGGAAACTGTGTTCACATCAACGCCTGGTCTGTAACCAGCGCCAGTGGCAGAAGACAAAAGGACAAAGAGTTTTTCATGGAGAAAGTAAAAAAGCCACAAGGCGCTTCATCAACAAAACCCTTCAGAAAGAAGATCGTGTCCTTTCTCTTTCCTTTGCTTAGTTACAGGATTTGGAGCACTCCCTTCTGCAGGAATCAAGTGTCCCGCACAGGGTCTAGGACGCCGCTGAAACAGTGTGCCAACACGGACTGAAGGCATAAGGCTGGGAGAATTCTGGTGAGGAGGGAGTAAATAATGCAGGCCTTAGGACAAACTTCCGGGTACCAGGTAAGACCGGAAAAGCAGAGCAGTTCAGAGCATCTGGCCCCGTTCAATGGCAGAGCAGTCACACCACTGCCTTTTAAAATCTCTGTGATGCATCTGGGAGGAGTGCAATTCAGCCCATTTTACAGGTAAGAAAACAGGCAGAGGGTTTGTGAAAAGTCACACAAACTCCTAAGTGGCAGCCAGGATCAGATTCGTGTCTAAAGCCTTAAGACTCAAAATCTGGCATTATTTTTATTGAAGTACACCTCAAAAAAATCTCAACTTTCTATATCTTACAGATACAAAATTGTGAGGAAACCATCCCTTGCAAACTCTTCATTTTTATTCAAATGTACCTTAAATTTTATCATCTAAAAAATGTCAGTGCTTAAGAAATTTCTGGTCTAAAAAGCTGTTAATGGAGTTAAATTGTGATTTTAAGTAATTAGTTGTAAAATTACTTTTGCAGCAGCTCTGAGCTTCTGTATGTAAAATATTTGGTTAAAAAAACATACCAGGAAGAAAAACATTTTCCTCACTGGAACAAAATCAGGCTGTTGGGGCAGCCGTGGTGGAGTGGGGCACATTTGTGCCCCTCTTACACCTATGACCGTGAGGCAATCATCCCTGGGGAGGAGGGCACGGCGGTGAGAGGAGTCAGGGGGGCCAAGAACTAGGAGGGGCAGATAATGACATGCCTGTGATGGGAAGGCGCTAGCGACTGCAGTGGGCAGAGGCAGGGGTGGCAGCTGGCTGAGGAGTAAGCAGGGGTCTCCTCTG